GTTCCTCCCTCTCTCCCCGGTCCCCCCTATCAAGCAGAGTAAGCGTGGGGTGGTCACGGCTATGTCACCCATGTCTGGAGGCACTGCAACCTGACTGCCCTGTCCCTGCGTACAGGATGTTCCCTGGGGCAGGGTGTTGCCCTGACGCACATGGTTAGTTAGTTTGTGCCAGCCCAGCCCTGACTCTCCTTGTGGTTGGTGAGGGGAGCCACAAGTTGGTCTCAGTGCTGGCAGCGTGTGCCCATTTGAATCTCTCAGTTGCTCCCAGCTGTCTGGCAGCCCGGGGGTATGAGCAGCCCCGTGAGGAGCTTGCCAGGCACCCCCAAGAAGTGCAACCTGTTGCAGCCGACTGGAGGCTCTCGTGGCCTCCTCGGCCCCGCGGGCACCGAATTCAGCATCATGTGCATTGTTGGGGCGCAGTAATTGAATCCAACCTGCTCTCTCTCCTCTCTTACAGGTTACCAGGACAATGCCAGTACTTAGGGCTGCCGGTGGCCGATTACTTCAAACAGTGGATTAATCTGAAAAAGGTACTTCTGTGCAATGCACCCCAGTGCCCCCTCCCTTTGCTCCCTCCCCCACCTTGCTTTCAGGAGGTGTCTAATAACGGCGGCTGTTTTGCATTGAAATGAGGAGTTATTTTCTCGGAGGCTGGGCTGCGCGTGCCCTCCCCCGGCTCCCCATTGTGTCCCCGCTAATAGAGTCTTACTGTACTTGATGGAATGCGCTCTGCAGCTGGGGAGAACCCCTTTGTGGCCAGCACGGTGCTGCATAATCGCGCGCCGGCCAGGGTCATGGCAGTCAGCGCGTTGCTAATGCCGGTGGCTTCCTAGGTACCTGGGGATACTGAGAGCCAATGTTCCCTGTGGCTGGATCAGGGCGCCTGGAAATCCACTGGAGAAAGAGTCTAATGGGGCTTGTTTGCTTCTTACCAACATGGCAATATCATGTCACCCCGTGGCCGATGCCCAGATCTGGCTCAGAGCACCCCCTCCTGTGCCCTGTTGTGGGGCTGTCCAGGCAAGCGCTTGCTGTGCTCTGCATCCGACTGATTCAGAAATAACCCAGGGGGGCTTCAGGAGATCTCTGGCTGCTGGGAAGGGGCTGTTACATCGTGGGAGGCCAGTGGTGCAGGTCAGAGTCGGAGAAGTGTCGGGACCTTGTACAGGTGGCAGCTGGGGTGAGGTTTGGTGGGGAGGCTTTGGGAGCCAGGGTGCAGCATCTCTGGTTACTGCTCTGGTCTACTATAATGAGGGGGCCGGGGGTCTGAAATGCCTGCCGACAGCACTCTCTGTTTTCAGGGTCCCCTCTCATTTCTTTAAATGCACGTGTCGCTGCGAACACGAGCATGAGTGACAGGTCGGGGCCACAGCAGAGGGACAATTTGCATGATCTGCTCCGTCAAACAGGGGAGGCTGGGGCCATGACGAGGGATGCTGGCAGCGCGTTCCCAGCTGAACCTGTCAAGGGGATCTTGCCTTCCCCGCTGTCAGAGTAAATCTCGCAGCTCGTCGCCGGGCCTCCGCAAATGAGATCTGAAAGCGCGCTGGGGCATTCTGCAGTTCAGTGACCATTAATGATCGCTGCTTGAAGTTCACTAAACTTCTGGCGCATGGATAGCAGCTCCATCACTGGCAGGGTGGCGGCGGGCACAGAGGAAACATATGGCTCTCTGTGTCACAGCATGGAGTATCGCTGGATGAAGCCCTCCGCTGGGCCCCACCGCCCCTGAGCTAGGGCCGTTTGCAGTGGTTTTCCGCTACTGGGTTTAGCACGCGGGGAGCTGGGATTCATCCTAATTTGCTTAGACTTGGGCTGGAGCTGGGCTTTCACGTGGGTTGCTGCAGCTACTGGCGCTGTCTGGCGGGGTGGTTTGGGCATCAGTCATGCAGGCGCGGGAGGGACGTGCTGGAGAATGGCTCAATGCTTCTTACAGTCATGGGCTGGCAGCATGAGGGAGGGCAGGCCTGGCTGTGCCCAGGACCTTGCTGAGCTGCTTTTAGGAGCTAGACTTGTGACCTGAGTTTCCTGGAATGAGGATCCCAGCTGCCACTCCTGTCCCCTGCTCTGATGGGTGTCTCTGCCTGGGTCTTTGACTCAGGGAGGGGGTGCTGGCAGTGGTCAGCAAAGCCGTCTAGGCAGAGCTCCGGGTGGCACGGGCTCATCCAGCAGGGGACCCTAGCTGACCCTTCAGCACCCTCGCTGGCACTGATGAGCTGGCCAGACACACAGCCCTGGATTCTTGTTCCCGCCTGCTCTGACCAAGGCCTTGTGGCTGCCAGGGCCTGGGTGCCACTCAAGGCAGCTGGAGGTGGAGGTTGTGCTGGTAGGGTTGGCATTAGGAGGAGGAAGGGAAACGTCAGCTGTGAATACTAGCGGGAGAAGAGTAGCAGTACTCCTGGAGAGCAAGGCCTGCGTGGGACCAGTTATTTGGGATGAGCATGTGAGGATGTGAGGGGAGGTCCCGAAGCGAGGGTGGAGAGCCAGGAGGTGGGTGAGTGGTTCCTCTACCAAAGACCCTGCCCCATGCCAAGACAGCAGCAAAGTATAGGAAATAAGAGTACCGGGGTCGTGGGCTGGGAGGGAGCTGTGGAGGTTCCATCTAATCCAAGCCCTGCCCGAGGAAGGATCAGCCCTGTCCAAACCAGCCCAGACAAACCCTGTGTCTGATATCTGAGCAACACGACACAGTCACTTCTGACACCCCCAGGCATCACTCCCACCCCTGCCCCCGGGAAAGCCGGGGGGGCCGTGGCTGCCAATGTCCTGCTGCTGCCAGGGGGGTTCATGGATACTCCAGAAACCCCAGGCCAAGGCCATGTCTCTGCTGCAGAGGAAGGCAAAACCTCCCAGTCTGAACCAGTCTGAGCAGGGGGGAAATCCCTTCCTATCCCAGTGCAATGTGGGGCTGAACCTGAGCGCAGGGGCAAGACCCTGCGGGGTTGGTGCCAGCAGCTGCATTGGCATAGCCCAGTCCCATCCCCAGCCTGGGCTGTGGCCAACACCCAGCACCTCTGGGGGAGGCTAAAAAACACCCGACATATATAGTAGAAAGCGGGGTGGGTGCAACCAGCAAAGCCCAGGAGCCTGGAAAATCCCCATAGCAGAGCACAGGCATCGCTGCTCCTAGATCATCTCCACCCTGTGGCTGTCCAGCCTCTCCTTGGACCCCTCCAGTGATGCAGAGTCCACAGCTTTATTCCCCAGATGCAGCTTTCCATGGCAGCGCTGGCTGTTCCTTGTTCTGGGCCCAGCCTGGTCTTGGTTGAAAGTCAGTGTCCAGGGACCTTTCTTGTGGCTGGTTCTTGCTGGTGGGACTTGCTGAAAGTTGTGTTGTGGTGTGGGTCCCCAGCAGGGAGGAGCAGCCGCTGCTGCAGGAGCTCACAGCCGGACCCCAGCGCCAGAAAAGCAGCCACCCCCTGCCTGGAGCCTGGGAGGCCACAGGGCCCTGCAGTGTCCAGGGAGGTATTTGGCTCCGTTTTGCTCCCCGGTCACTCAGCAGTGCAGCATTCCCTTCGTATCCATCCAGGCACTGGGTGCACAGCTGTGCTGGACCGGCATCGCCACAGGGCTGCCATGCTTGCCGCTGGGCGGCTGGGGCTGTGGCTCCCACCTTCCTCTCCCCATTCGCTCCCCAGAATAAGAGAAGCCGGGAATGAGACCGTGCTTGTGGGAAGAGGCTTGTCCAGCTCCCTTCCTCCCCGGAAAGGCTTTTGGGATGCAGGGTTATTTTTAGGGCAATGAAAAGAGGAAAATCCCCTTCCTTGCAGCTGATGGAGTCGGCAGAAGGTTTGTTCCCCTCCCCCCAGCCTGCTGATGTGCCGCCCCCCCAGCCCCAGCCCCAGCCCGGCTGGTGCTCGCGGACGTTTTGGTGCTCGCGGACGTTTTTAATGTCACTGGGCGATCTCGTCTCTCCAGTGAGCTGTCAGCGGCGTGAGGACTCGGGGCAGGGCGCTCTGCGCGCTCCTTGCTCCGATTAGCTCAGCTCTCGGGGAGGGCTGCCAAGGAGACGCACACCGGATATCTCCCTGCCCCCCTCCTGGTGCGGAGCGTGCCAGGAGCCAGCAGGCCGCCTGCCGTATGCTGGTGTCAGCCTCTCGTGTTGATGGGCAGAGGTGCTGCGGGTCAGGAGCGAGGTGCATTAGCAGAGCTCTGCGCTCCCTGACAGCGTCTGTGCAGCCGGGCTGAAGGACATCGGGGGGGCTCTGCAGGGAGGGCCCAGGGTGGGATTGACAGGTGCCTGCAGGGCTGGGGACATGGTCCTGAGAGCAGGGGGTCTTGTGGTGGCAGTGCTGGGCTGCTGTGTTCCCTCCCCTCCTCTCCAACATCCACCCAAAGCACAGAGGACAAACTTGGGGTGCTTTAGACAGATCAGGGACCCTGCACCCAGCGTCACTCAATAGGTCTCTCATCGCTTCCCCCAGGCTGATGGTTATCTGCTTCTCCCACGCTGTGGTAGCAGGGTCTGGGTGGTGACGGGCCTTGCCCATCAGGCCGGGCATCCTCTCCACACTGAGCCGTCTGCATGAAGGGTTTGGAGCCAGAGTTGTGGTAAGCTGTGGCTCGGCGCCATCAGATATCTGACGGGAACAAAGACCCTGTCTTGGAAAGGGGGAGCACAGCATTCAACGTGGCCTATGAGGCAATGCCAAAGTCACTGGCAGATCAGGTTGGAAATGGTTGTGGGGCTGGGGGACAGGACTGGTGAGGAGAGGCTGAGGGAACTGGGCCGATTTAGTCTGGAGAAGAGAAGGCCAAGGGGGATTGAATAGCAGCCTTCACCTCCCTGCAGGGGGGCTGCAAAGAGGCTGGAGCTGGACTGGTCTCAGTGGGGGCAGACGACAGGACAAGGAGCAATGGGCTCGAGTTGCAGCAGGGGAAGTTGAGGTTGGATATTAGGAAAAACTCTCTCCCACCAGAGGTGGTGGAGTCTCCATCCTTGGTGGTGTGTAAGACCCGGGTAGACAAAGCCTTGGCTGGGATGATCTAGTTGGGGCTGGTCCTACTTTGAGATGGGGTTGGACTAGATGTGACCCCCTGAGGTCCCTTCAACCCTCATTGCCTAGGATTCAGTGATTCACGAAAGGCAGCTGAGCTGTGCAGGGTGGGAGTACTGCCAAGAGAGGTGAGGGCTCGCACCAGCACCAGCAGTACAACAGGGTGGGAGAGATGTCAGGACCAGTTACCCGGGGAGAAGTAATGTGTCCATGCTGTTTGAGGCACCCTCATCCTTGGCTTGAGCCGGGAAGGTCTGAGGGGAACCAGGGTGGGCAGCTCGGAGGGGACAAAGGCCAAGGCAGTCGTGTGGGACGAGGTAAGGAAGCACTGGGGAGTGCTGGTTTGGGGCACCCAGGTTAAGGTTGCAGAAGCTCTGAGGCCTGCACACCTGGCCTCAGCCCTGCCTCCTCCTCCTCGTTCTTGCAGAGCAGTGATTCCCAGCCACGTGCTGGGCACTTCAGGGTGCCTGGAGATCCTTTCAGGGGTGCTGCTCGATGTTGGCACTGTTAGATGTGCAAATTGGACTGCACAA